CACTGATGATGAAAAATGGATTCTCTATGTGAATATTAAATGCCAAAAACAATGGCTCAGTCCTAGACAAAACCATTGTCAACCCCAAAACCTAAACTCCATCCACAGAGAGTGATGACTTGCATTTGGTGGGACATCAAGGGAGTAATTCATTTCAAACCCCACAGCAGACTGTCAATGCAGAGATCTATAGTCAGCAACTGGAACGTTTAATTCTCTACGACAATGCACGTCCACATGTGGCACCTTTGATGCAGATTACGAAGTTGGTTTGGGAATTTCTCCCCCACCCACCATATTTTCCAGATATGGCACCATTAGATTCCCATATTTTTCGTTCATTGCAACACCATCTTAATGGGAAAACGTGTGCAAATGTAGAAGGTTTTAAAGAGGATATCGACATGTTTTTTTTTTCTGCTTCAAAGCCAAATGATTTATTTAATCATGGTACTAACAACCTGATTTGTAAGATGGAAACAGAGATAGAGAAAAAATTGTTTGGTCAAAGGGTATTCTAAAGTAAAAATTGTGAACTTTGGCGAAAAAGAGACAATTAAATAAAGCTTTGGATACAACTATGATATCCTATAGTATAAATAATTTTTGTACATACATTTGACTTGTTTTAATATATCATTTTAAAACAATAGGATTATGATGAAATTTATCGCCAACAAGTCACAGACATCTACTGTAAAGAATCCAGCCCTATAAAACCTGACACACACAACTAATGTTGTAACAAAGAAAATGTTCTTTGATAGAATGTTTAGAGAGGGTAGTTATGATGAGTGTACTAAAATGGAAGGCAACTGCTTGTGTTTTTACAACAGATAGTTGCTGCCCATTCTGACACTCAAAGAAAATGTTGATAAATTTTCACAACTATTTTGATTCTTTCAGTGGCTGAAATAAATCTGACTGAAAACACCCAATCCATATTTTCTTTGTAGATGACTAAACAGAAACATCCTAGGCACCCCTGTTTCATGGAACAGCTACAAATTAGTTCCCTGAACCTCGGACAGTGTAAATACATTTATAACCTTGAAAAAGTAGATAGCCTCCTCGACTGAATTCTACTGCATAAAGTAAATGTATGGTTAAATTACCACATGATATTGACAGGATTTACAATGCTGCACATTAACATTCTAGAATAAGATAAAAATTTAGTAAACATGAAGTAACATTACAATGCATATCACTTTCACAGTCCAATATTGTGAAATAGATGTCTTAGGTTCATATCTCTTCCAACATTTTAAATGTTGCTGTAATTGACTAGAATACGTTTTCCAACTTTTTTATAGTAAAAACTACAATCTTAGAATTTAAACAATAATATGGAGGTACTGTTGTTGTATTTTAAAAATGGAACTACTGTCAGTTGTAACGTATAGCCTATAATATTTTGTCAATGCCCATTTCCCTATTTTATTTTGCAATTATAAAGAAAAAAAATCAACTCATTTTACATATCTATTATTTCAAAGACTTTCTTATAGAGAGTTTATATTTTATTATGTGCGTTTGTTTGTTTATTTTATTGTTACGCACAAAGCTACATAATGAGCTATCTATGCTCTACCAATCACAAGTATCGAAATCCAATTTGTAGTATTATAAGCCTACAGGCTTACTAATGAGTCACCAGAGGGCTATTATGTACATGCAGATCTGTAGCAATAATTGTTAAATAATAGTTTTATTTTGATGCTTAAAGAATCATGTGCATTTATTCTATGCTCTTTTATACCCTCTTCTCAAGTGTTACTTTAACATATTAACCGAAAACTTGTTAGCATGGTATTATTTTTTTCTAGACAACTAGGGTGAAAAGGTAAGTTCAGTGATTTAATGACATCGATAGCTTAACTTGTCTTTAAAAAAAAAAGGTTCGGACCGGCCTTATATTGTTACGGCAGCGGAAGTCACGTGACTCTGGTAACACGTAATGCGTTCTAGAAAGATCGGGGAACATCACGAAT